AGTGGACTCTGTGGAGCCAATCCATGTGTGAAAATTATGTCTCATGCTCCCTGAACCACTCCTTCACAATAAGAGCCCCATGAATCCTGGCATTGTCATCTTGGAACATGGCCGTGTCATCAGGGAAGAAACAATCCATTGATGGAATAACCTGCTCATTCAGTATATTCAGGTCAGCTGACCTCATTCTTTGAGCACAAACTGTTGCTGAACCTAGACCTGACCAACTGCAGCAACTTCACATCATAGACTTTAATTACATCCAGGTGGACACTTGTTTTTGGCCAGGAAGTTTATTTGACTCTCAAGGACTCAGATGTGTGACACAAAAAAATTAATTATGGAAATGAAAGTGAAAGTAGTCAAACTGAATTTTTAATTCAACAAAGCACAGTTTCAAAGCAAATTAATTCAGGTTCAAAACTTTAAATTCAGTTTCAATTTAGTGAAATTAATTTTTAAACCAATGTGTTCAATTTCAAATGATGATTCATTCTGAGCAATTCAAATTCAATTTCTGCTGGCACAGGTTTCTTCTTGCAGTTTCCTCCCACAGATCAAACTCATCTGTCTTAGGCTAATTGGCAACTGAATTTTAACTACGGTGGGGGAGAGAGCGTGCATGTTTGTTTCATTTGTCCCTGTGATGGACTATTGACCTGTCCAGGGTGTCCCCCACCTCTCACATATATGGACTGCTGAACATAAGCACCAGCAACTCAGAACAGAATCTGGTAAAGATGATGGATGGAATTGTCTGTAGTTTGGTTTATCAAACAAATTTGAGCATCTCCTAAATATGCCATTTAACATCCACTAAAACATTTTGGATTGGCAGCCTCTGACAGATTTGTACACACAGACTAAATAAGCAGCTTAAAATCTAAGATCCTGCATCTCTCAATAGCTGTGAACCACAGACCCGTGATGAATAGGAAGGGGAAAAAAAGAACACATGGAGGCAATGGACCCCACATGGCGCTCTCACATTTCTCAGCTTTGAAAAATAACAGAATTCTTGTTTAAACAAAAGCAGGGGGGCAAGCAGCCGGTGTTAATCAATGGTTTGAGATTCAGACGTAAAAGCAACTAATGAGGAGGAGGGATTTGTCCTCCGCAACCACATGAGCCTCATGTTGAGCCTTAACATTAGATCTGGGGACTGCCCCTGCACCCCCCAACCCCACTACCCACTCCTCAGCATCCTTCTGTGACTTGTTAACTTGCTTCAAATATTTTGTCTGGGAAGGAACTAATCAATTTCCTAATGCTGCAAGGCCTCTGCGTTCGTCATCAGTGGCTTTCAGGTGGCGTGAGTCCTGCATGTAATAATACATTGGCAGTGATAGAACAACAAATTAGAGAAGAACTAAAACATGAAAGCCACTGGGGTCTACACCAACAGTCTGTAACAAGGCAGAGGCAGATGGTGATATCTAGGGGGAATTACGAGTTTCATTTTGTTACGCAAGATTAATATTTCAGAAGGAAATTTGATTATTAATCAGAACCAAAGAAATCCCACTTTTCTCCACCATTTAGTAATAATTTGGTCATACAAAACTGAGACATTAGATGAACTGGTGTTGCTGCCTCAAGAGTATTATCTGCAGTATGGGGCTGCAACTAACGCTTATTTTTATAGTTGATTAATCTGTCGATTATTTTTCCAATTAATCGATGAATAGGAAACCTCTTTTTTCCAAAATAGAACATTTGGACTGACAGTAAATCAACAAAATGAGATTAATGTTTGAGTATTCTGTTACTATAATATTAAATATTATATAAATAAATGTTTGTCAAATAGCCTTAGTAAAGAAATAAATGTACACAAGAATATATACAAATGTGATATATCCTCGGAAGTCTTCATATTTTCTCTCCGTGAGCTTTGTAAAATGTGTCCTTGAGGGAAGAGTGAAACTTGAAATAAAAGTGTGAACTATTATAGTTAAACATTCATCTTTAAACATGGACAGAAGCCTCATGTCAGTCACATCATGTTAAAGATGCTCCCAGTCAAGACAGCAGCTTGCTGTGGTGTCCATGATGTCTTTCCCATCATGAGGTCTGTCATTGTTTGCTTTTTTTCTGGAATGAGAAAGGAAATAGTATGAGTACATATAATTTTTACAGTAACTTATTTGCAGTATTAAGTGAAGTCATGTGAGTAGCACAAAGAGCAGTTAAACACGTGTTTGTGTTTCATTGCTCTTTGCAGTGTCTTCACTCAGACATCATCAGCAAATTAAAACTTTATTCCTTTTATTTAAAACAAAAACAATTTCACATAAAACAAAAATACAAACTAAATAACATGAAAGGCAGCAGAAGAAAACCTAAAACTTAAAGCTTGTGTGCAAAATTTATAAAGCACATCAAACATTAGCTTTAAATATACTGTATTAGCTTAAGCTACTCAAAATGAAATAAAAAGTAACGCACACATACTTTAACACTGTCATTAATGAGCTAACAGGCTAACAGCAGCATCAGAAGAGCTACCAGGGAGACTAACGTTATGTTTTCTCACTTCAAAATGGAATAAACATAGTGACTTACCCTGCTGTTGAGCCCCCTTCATCCTTGTCGACTCCCAACATGTTTACGTTTCGGGTGCGTTATAACCATGGCGCTCCTGTGCCTCACAAAATCACTTTCACAAAGCTTGTTACGTATTTCTTAGTTTTGTGAAGCGTGAAGAGCTTTCACTTGTTTGAAGACTTCGGTCGAACAGTTTTCGAACATTGGTCATTTGTAGAATTTAAATACAGTCTCCACCTCGCTCTGCAGGTCAAGTAAACAGTTCTGGGAAATGGGTGATTGACATAAATCGATAATGAAATTTGTTGTCAACACTTTTTCAAAACACATTTTTACCAATTTTATTGATGCGTTGTTGCAGCTCTACAGCCGAATTTTAGAAACGTCTTGATTTAAAGCATCAATCAGGTTGTAAATCACCGACACTTCGCACCATACATAAAATAACAGGATACAAAAAACAGGGTTCAAACGATTTTCCTAAAGTAAAATTCAAGCACTTTTCAAGCATTTTAAAGGTAAATTGTAAATTTTCCAGCAATAAACTTTGAAGAAGTCTGTATCTCAGCACCTTTCTCCACAGAGATTTATAACAATGACACACATGGTCTAATACCAACCTAAAATGACTGATTAAACTGATTAAAATTCTGCAAGGGTTAGTAATAATATGAAATGAACATTTGAGCAGAGGGAACCCACAGACATGAGGCACAGAACGCATGACAGCAATTTCCCAAGCCACAGCTACTTTTTGCACCATTAGCTAACCACTTTTACTAGTGTTAAAAATGTTGCATATTTTAAAGTACAGAAGATGACATAAAACCCTTCAAATGTTTTGCAATTTACCTACAAAGTTGTAAGTTAGCTTAAATTTAAGATTCCTTCCCACAACTTTTGCATCACGACTGGAGAGCAGACACTTCCATCATGAACAGCTGCAGGTCCTGTTTGAATATCTTGCAGGAAGCTACTTGAGTATTTGGTCCAGTATTGCATTAATTTTTCACCAAGATTTTGCATTGATGATGGTAGAGTCTGACCTTCTCCAGCACATTCCAAAGATTCTCAGTGAACTCTGTGGAGCCAATGTGTGAAAATGATGTCTCATGCTCCCTGAACCACTCTTTCACTAAGAGCCCCATGAACATTGTCGTACTGTACAGTACTGTACTGTTGGTACAGTGCACTTTATTACAAAACTGTGCAGTTAGAATATCAAGCACTTTATACAGAAATCAAGTACTTACCAAACCTTGAAAATAATAATACTTGAATTTTAAGCTGTATTTTTTGTATTTATTTTTTAGGATTTCAAGCACCATTATAAACCCTGAAAAAAAGAGGTAGTCATTTTTGTGGGTTGATTTGGGTGGGGAACCGTTGGACTGTGGAAGGAACATCAAAGATCTCCTCAGTCCACCCTTCCTGTCCACCTTTTGGGAGGCAGAGTCTCATAACTCAGGGGAAGACAAGTCCATTACTATGGCAGAGCTCATCGAGGTAGTCAAAAAGCTCCTCTGTGGCAGGGCACCAGGTTTGGATGAGATTCACCCCAAAATGCTGAATGCTCTGGATGTTGTGGGGCTGTCATGGTTGACATGTCTCTTCAACATCACATGGAGGACTGGGACAACTCCTGTGGAGTGGCAGACCGGGGTGGTGGTTCACATGTTTAAAAACAGGGACTGGAGAGTATATTTTAATCATTGTGGGATCACACTTTTCGCCTTCCCCAAGAAAGATTACTCCAAGGTGTTGGATGGGAGGCATGATTAGGTGCCATCTATTTACATTTTATGCACAATCTTGTTGCACTTGCTAGCTGATTTATAGAAGAATTTCAATGATTAGGGGCTGCAAAACAGGAACAAAACCTGTATTGTTCATTCGTTTAATTCCTAAATCCATAAAGTTGACACCTGCCAACTAAAATATCCCTACATGGCACAATCTGCTAACAAATGTGCAATTTTGACACTAGAGATCACAAAATGATGTTTCCCTTTTCAAAATTGCAAAAATACAAAATTTTATAGATATTTTTCACATGCATAACAGGACAAAAAATTCCACTAGAAAAAAAAAAAGGTTAGTTAACTTTGACTGGTTTAAGTTTTGGTCTAAAAATGTGTAACAGCATTCTTTTATTCAACCGTGTAAAAAAAACTGTCTCAGTCTAAACGCAGTGTTTGTTACCCGTTTGTGCATGCACATGCCAAAACAGGACATTCCAAGCAAGACACACAAATATATACACACTGTATGGAGCAAAGTGGTGCATAATGCTACCACATGGTGCTGTAACCATCAAAGGAAATTTGATCCAGTGCCTCTATATCCCCCACCTCATTCTCCTGAAGTCTGATTTTTAAGTATTTCAAACAGGGTCTGACACCAAGTATCGTGTAGAAAATCCTTTAAAACACGTCTTTAAGTTTCTCCCTCACCTTTCAGCCACATTGGGATCAACATTTCTCGACAGCAGCAGCTCCACACAACGTGCCATTTTGTCTTCACTTGCAGATGCAGTGCAACTGGCCATGAGCACCGTCCAATGATCTGCAATCAAAAACAACACATTAGGAGCCCTTTTTATACCATCAAAAAAAAATGCAACTAAAACTGACACTAAAAAGAAAAATAAACTGTCAGAATGTAAAATGTATAAATAATTCAACTGTAAATAAAGAAAAAAAACAAGTTTTTTCTTGGTACTCCAGTTTCTTCCCACAGACCAAACCATGCAGGTTAGGTTCATTGGTGACTCTAAACCACGTGTCAAATGTGGCCCGCAAGACCTTCAGAGATTATTCATGTCTTAAAATACGCTGCTTTAAAGCCAGCATTGCCCATAAACTGCACCTCCCATAATGCATGTCGGTTTAATTACCAGCAAAGGAAGGCATCCCACCACTAGGTGGAGGTGCACAGGGTTCAACTATAGCTGGCTGTCAACAAAAAAGCAACAAAAAGGAGATATTGTACTGGGAAGTGGGGATTTTCCATTTACAAGTCATCAATTTAAACTGGAGCATCCCTCCAGTGGGAATTCACTGTCAGAAAGCAGCAGAGTTCAGAAATAACGATGGCAGCTACTTATCACAACTCAACAGTAAGTAAAAGTTTTTATTAATTTTATTTATTTATTTTTTTTTTTGTATTCCAAATTTGGTCAAAATGACCTCAGCACATTTTCAGATTCATATTTTTTAAAGCTACTTTTTAATACCTGGATCATCCCCATATTATGAGTGGTTGCAGAGATATTCCTTCATTTGTGTTCCTAATCAGGATAACCCTTTGATATTTGGTCTAAATACTATTACTAGTGTGTTCTAAGGAATTTTTGATGTCAGAAGAAACCTCAAACAATATTTGCATATTAAGATTTACCAACTGAAAGAAGAAAAAAACTAACTTACAGGGAAAATGACAAATTGAAGGCTGTTCTGCTCAAAATTATGTTTTTTGAAGCTACTATTCAAAAAAGGACTTAAAAAAGATTAAGCTTAAGATATTTCATTTAAATGACCTGTAGATATGGTAAGTAATCCTGCAAACGTTTTAACAAATGCATTAAAGTTGCCTCTTTTTCTACATAACACTTTGAGACTAAATCTTCGGTTTGAGGTGATGTACCATGTGTACAATTAGTAAGTTTGATGTTCAGTATGTGCAACATGTGTTTGTACAGTACGGCACTTTGCATTTGTGTTAAAATTATAAAACATTTAAAGAAAATGACTGGATCAATGATGCACATGTAAATCTTCTCACCACTTGGAGGTGTCTGAGTCTCAGTCATGACCGAATGACAGTTCTGAGTTCTTCAACCAGACAAATGTATCTCTGGCCTTACAGTGAGAAGTACAGTGTTCAACATTTACAAATCTAGTTTCCAACAATTGTTTAGGAGCTTTGGGTAGTGAGCAAAAGAACAAGATTGTGGATATAAGCAGATGAAATGAGTTTCCTCTGCAGGGTGTCTGGGCTCTCCCTTAGAGATAGGGTGAGAAGCTCAGTCATCCGGGAGGGACTCAGAGTAGAGCCGCTGCTCCTCCACGTCGAGAGGAGCCAGTTGAGGTGGCTCAGGCATCTGGTTAGGATGCCTCCCGGATGCCTCCCTGGTGAGGTGTTCCGAGCATGTCCCAGGAGACCCAGAGGAAGACCCAGGACACGCTGGACGGACTGTTTCTCAGCTGGCCTGGGAACGCCTTGGGATTCTCCCAGATGAGCTGGTCCAAGTGGCTGGGGAGAGGAAAGTCTGGGTCTCTCTGCTTAGGTTGCTGCGCCCGAGACGCAACCCCGAACAAGTGGAAGAAAACTGACTGACGGACAACTGTTTACATTGTTTTGTTGTTTCTGTGCAGTAACGACAAAATACCAGTGTTGTAATTCAGCAAGCCAGAAGTCTTTATTTTCCACTTGACGATGCAATTTTTTTAAAGGGGTTTCCTTGGTTTGACTATGTTTGTACATCTATATTTCCTGGTGGGCTTGTTTGCAGTTTCTGTCCCCTTTTAAATGCTCATAGTCACTTTGTTTTACCTCAAAATGAAATTGCAGTTTCAAACTACCTTCTATTAGTAGATTGGCAGAAAACATTCAGGAATAACAGGAACTGGGAAACTACATTTTGGGTATAAATTGGTAAATACAATCAACTGCAACTACTAGGTAGGACAAACGCACAAACACTATATATCTATAGATCTATGACACACAGCTGAGTCTTGCAAAACTGATACATTAGTGCTACATCAGCAAAATATTTCATTAATTATTTTAGTATGGCAGGTTTAACACAAGGAGAACCTTCGAGCATTTATCTCCTGGTCTCTCCTCGAGTCCAGAGGCTGTGCACTCGATTCCTCCTTGCTCCAGAGTCAAGGGCCTCACTAAGTGAAGTTAACCACAGCGTGTATTTAACTGTGCAACAGCATCCTGGACATGTTTCTGCTGTATGGAGGTTTCTTTGTCTTTGCAGCTGTGTATGTTTGGCTCTATTTCTGTCTATGTGTGTGTGTTTACACTACGAGCCTGTTGGTGTAAACCAGACTGCCTGCTTTGCGTATAACAATGACTGATGTAAATAAATCTGTGGCCTGAGAACTGGTGAGAGGGCAAAACAGCAGCATGATGACCGTTATCAATCACTCCTGCATTCCTCCACTCAGCCTCGCCGCTTGGACTAACGCCACCCGGACGTGACCACGCGTCATTCTCCTTTAATCGTTTCCTTCGCCGGCCTCAAACTTCAGATGCCAAGAGCATGTGAAATCAGTCACAGACAGTTTAACTCCGCAATCTGGATTTGGAGCTAAATTAAAATCAGACATCAGACTTTTAAAAAGAGCAGAAATTTTTATTTGGCTTCTGTTTATTTTGTGTACAGAAAACAGAACATACACAGGCAACAAGTGCAATAAATTAGTACTAAACATTTTGTTTCTCTCTCTCCCCTGACTCAAAATATTTAACACTTCCAAGGTTATAGCCGAATTTCTGCAAAAGGATGAATTTTTCATGCATCAATTGGCAAAATACCTCATACCTTCTTTTGTTTTAACTCTGACTCAGATGCCTTCAATTTTACTTGCTTTGTGATGAATTAGCATTATTCATAAAGTAAAAAACAACTCAAAGAACCATCAGTGTTTCTCCCAAAACTCCTCTTTGGCGTCATCACCTTCAAGTAAAGTCAGATGAGTTTTGGTGCACTGACCTCTTTGGCTCCCAGCGCTTTGGACACTGCAGGTGGGGTAATTAAAAAAATGAGCCAGAGGGTAAGTTGGACACCAAGGCAAAGGAGGCCAGCAAGTGGGTCAGGAAGAATGGCAGACATTTAAGACTGCAGAGCAGAAATGTGATAGTGATGATGAATACAACCATCTGCGATTAGTTTTCATTCATTTTACTTCATTTGTGGGTAAAAGATCACAAAAAAAAAAACAGTCAAGCCTAGACCAGTAGATTTTAGGAGTAAGATCATAATCTGTTTTTGATGCACTGCAATGCAGACCTGAGTATACAGTGGGGAAAATAAGTATTTAGTCAGTCACCAATTGTGCAAGTTCTCCCACTTAAAAAGATGAGAGAGGCCTGTAATTGACAACATAGGTAGACCTCAACTATGAAAGACAAAATGTGAAAAAAAATTTGAGAAAATCATTTTGTCTGACTTTTAAAGAATTTTTTTGCAAATAATGGTGGAAAATAAGTATTTGGTCAATAACAAAAGTTCATCTCAATACTTTGTTGTACATCCTTTGTTGGCAATGACAGAGGTCAAACGTTTTCTGTAAGTCTTCACAAGGTTGGCACACACTGTTGCTGGTATGTTGGCCCATTCCTCCATGCAGATCTCCTCTAGAGCAGTGATGTTTTGGGGCTGTCGGCGGGCAACACGGACTTTCAACTCCCTCCAAAGGTTTTCGATGGGGTTGAGATCGGGAGACTGGCTAGGCCACTCCAGGACTTTGAAATGTTTCTTACGAAGCCACTCCTTTGTTGCCCTGGCAGTGTGCTTGGGATCATTGTCATGCTGAAAGACCCAGCCACGTTTCATCTTCATTGCCCTTGCTGATGGAAGGAGGTTTGCACCCAAAATCTCACAATACATGGCCCCATTCATTCTTTCATGTACACGGACCAGTCATCCTGGTCCCTTTGCAGAGAAACAGCCCCAAAGCATGATGTTGCCACCCCCATGCTTCACAGTTGGTATGGTGTTCTTTGGATGCAACTCCACATTCACTTTCCTCCAAACACGACGAGTTGTGTTTTTACCAAATAGTTCTACTTTGGTTTCATCTGACCATATGACATTCTCCCAATACTCTTCTGGAACATCCAAATGCTCTCTACCAAACTTCAGACGTGCCTGGATATGGACTGGCTTAAGCAGAGGGACACGTCTGGCACTGCAAGATCTGAGTCCCTGGCGTCGTAGTGTGTTGCTGATGGTAGCCTTTGTAACATTGGTCCCAGCTTTCTGCAGGTCATTCACTAGATCCCTCCTTGTGGTTCTGGGATTTTTCCTCACTGTTCTTGTGATCATTTTGACCCCACGGGCTGAGATCTTGCRTGGAGCCCCAGATCGAGGGAGATTAGTAGTGGTGTTGTATGTCTTCCATTTTCTGATTATCGCTCCCACAGTAGATTTCTTCACACCAAGCTGCTTGCCTATTGCAGATTCAGTCTTCCCAGCCTGGTGCAGGTCTACAATTCGGTTTCTGGTGTCCTCCGACAGCTCTTTCGTCTTCACCATAGTGGAGTTTGGAGTGTGACTGTTTGAGGTTGTGGGCAGGTGTCTTTTATACTGTTAACGACTTCAAACAGGTGCCATTAATACAGGTAATGAGTGGGGGAAAGAGGAGCCTCTTAAAAAAGAAGTTACAGGTCTGTGACAGCCAGAAATCTTGCTTGTTTGTAGGTGACCAAATACTTATTTTCCACCATTATTTGCAAAAAAAATTCTTTAAAAGTCAGACAAAATGATTTTCTCAAATTTTTTTTCACATTTTGTCTCTCATAGTTGAGGTCTACCTATGATGTCAATTACAGGCCTCTCTCATCTTTTTAAGTGGGAGAACTTGCACAATTGGTGACTGACTAAATACTTATTTTCCCCACTGTATCTGAATCAATTTATGGTAAATTTTAATTCAATGTAACAATCATTGAGAAAAACACGAAAAAGTGGAACTCTGTAGTGTGCTTGCGGACCTTGGACCGTTTATGGCATTCAAGCAGACCATGGAGATGTTCAAGCTGCACCATCAGCATTGAAATCCAGTTTAATGGATGTTTTTCAGCTTCTCTGAACTAAAAAAAAAATTGTGACATTCCCAAGAACCTCACTATACCCAAGTTATGTACTGTATTTCACCCAGTGGAGATGAAAAACATCCAGTAGTACAGCGTCCACATGGAAGTCCCTACAATGTCTTCACATGTTAATGCAGGTTCTACATAAATGACAAAAATAAACAAACTGGTGCAAAGCTGCCCATCTTCATTTCTGAAGTGTAGTCCAGTAGATTAAACAAACATGGAAGAAGCTTCCAAGTAGGGTACAAAGCCAGCTGAGGTGAGCTTGACATGAGGAACAAATAACATGCCTGGCCTAACCAGTATCCGGTTAACCTGGTATCTTAATCTTGCTGGAACCCAAATTTAAAGGGTTTTCATTCACTTCCTCCACTGTCATTGCTAAACTACAGGCAGACTAAAGCCGCACAGAAAAGCAAGGTCATTGATCACAACTTTTCCTTCTGTTCCCTAATTGGCCCGGTTGAATTGACGAAATAAGAGCAGAGAGACAAAGCAGAGAATGGGAACTAGAATTGAGTTGAATTACGTAGGTAAGCTATGGCCAGGCTAGTGTCACAGCAGAGCATGAATTCAGTCTTCAGAACAACATCAAGACAACTGAAGGGAAATTTATTCTCTTCAACACTTTTTTTAATGCATTCTTGTTTTTACCTAGAGCTCTAACCATAAAAATAGATAATTACACAAGTGGGTTATCATAAAATGACCTCAACTGTGACAAATTGGTGTGCTATGCTCTGAATGGCTCATGTCAGGGTCATCTCAAACAGAATGAATTTTAAATGATACATTAGTTAACACAAGCCTTTTCACCCACCACAGTTCAACAATTAAGTCTCTTCTCATCAGAGTTTATAAATGAGACCACAGATCAGTCTGGGGTCTCATTTATAAAGGATTGCGTAGAATTCATACTAAAAGTAAGCGTACAGCCAAAAGGTGAAAATGGTGTATGCCCAAATAAAACAAAATTCAGATTTATAAAACCGTGCGCACGCATACCTTCAAGCAATTTTCATTCATAGATCACAGCTGTACCGCAGAGTTTGAACAAGGTCCCTCCTCAGGTTCTGCCATCTACACACACAAACTCAACCATAAACAGTCAATGCAAAGTACCTCATGAATGTTCAGGTGTATTTAAATCAGTCAGCTGATCAATGCTAAAAAATAAAATAAAATAAAAAAAAGCGATGGGCCAGTTCAGACATGCGCTCCCCGTGTGTCTGGATGACAGGTGCTGACAACTGCTCACATTAACAGATTGTCAGTAATTTACACAGATTTTTCTGTCATTTTGCAGGAATACAGACATTTAGAGCAATCTCATGGATCTTTTCAAAAACTCAGCTTCAAATTTATATTCTCTCAGATCCTGTAGGACATTAAAAAATATTTTTAATAGCCATTTTTAAAAAAAATCCGCGAACATTAACATATAAGCCGCAACAGACTATAAGCCACACCCGCCATTTAAAAAAAAAAAAAAAACGCGAACATTAACATATAAGCCGCAACAGACTATAAGCCACACCCGCCATTTAAAAAAAAAAAAAAAACGCGAACATTAACATATAAGCCGCAACAGACTATAAGCCACACCCGCCAT